TTTTTGTCTCACGAGTCAAAGCGAACAATATATTACTGTAGCAGTTGTATTATTACGAATCGCTTGTCAAACAGATTGTCCTGGACCAAATTGTTTGCTTAACTCGAATGGACCTGATGAACAGAGTATGCTCTTATATCCTTCCATTATTGCTGATTCTTGATTATATTATTATTACTTTTTTCTTTAAGTGCCTAATAATTTTCTATTGCGATTCCATGTGGCATGTCGTCTCTTCATGGACATGGGATGCTCAAGACGAGACATGTGGAATTTGTCGGATGGCTTTTGATGATTGTTGTCCTGACTGTAAACTCCCAGGAGATGATTGTCCCCTAAGTAAGAACACGACGTGCCTTTTTTCGTCTAGTTTTATAATGTACTGTGTTATTTTAAAATTTTCAATCTGTATGTCTTTCGGGTTTTTGTTTTCTTCTCTTGAGTTTATTTGCAAATTGAACATAAGAAAGTTCCATCCTAAATGATTTTATTTTCTCATTAAGACCCACATTGGCTTGTTCTGTTTGGTTTTTCCTTACAAGGGCTCCCAGGATCAGCTAACTCAGCTACGGCCACAAGAAATACCAACCGACTCATGGTATCCTCTTTCTGTTGGCAGTACTCCCAGCTCTTTACGTCCAACAACTCCTGGAAGTTTTTGTTCGTTAAGACCGATTGATCGGCCGAGCACTCCCTCTAATGTTTCACCACCAGAGCAAGCATAATTTCTTTCTTGAAAGATAAAAGGTGATCGAGTTTTCTTCTGTTCGTTATTATCTTGGTTACCTTAGTCATATTAATTTATTTGTTTTCTGTTTGGCGAGTATTTAAGAGACTTATTAACAGTATTTTGGTCTTTGGCTGTGACGAAAGTTGAAATGTTTATTGTACATTGATGTGTTTATTGTACATTTCCATGTCACTATATGTTAAGTTGTTATTTTGTGTTTTTTTCTGCAGTTCGCTCTTGGAACCTTGCACTCGGTGTTTTTTTTTCTGTTACATTACGATTAATATTTTTGCCTTCATATAATTAGAAATCTGAATGTGTAATTTACATTTATGTACCAGGCTTTTTTTTAGCAGAACTTCAGTAAAACTTTTCTTGGAGATGGGTCACAGATTCGTTTTTTGTTTGCTCTATGTGCGATTGCTTTTAAGTTCAATTAATAAGCATTTATGTGTCCTTGACTGCATCCATTATCCTTAGCACTTTGCTGAGCATGTGCTTTTGGAGCTTGAATATTTATCCTTCTCTTTCTCAAAAAGTTTACTGCTTAGAGATACTAACTAGAAAAGGTTATGTTGCTTGTATTTCTAGGAAAATTGGTTCTCTCATGATATTCCAACTACAGTCCATAAAAGTATTGTCCTGTACCTGAGGTGATATTTTTCTATTTAATTGCAAATATAACGTTTCACTGGTGCCACTATGCTTTCTTGGTGATGGTTGTTGAAATTTTTTCCTTGCTTGCAGAAAATGGTCACTGTCAGCGTTGATGGTTCTGTTCTAGATCAAATAGCTAAAATAATGTCGTATCTTTGCCTTGGTTCGTTGGGGAAAGTTCTGAAAAATAAGAAGAAAGAAAAAGATGCAAAAGGTGAACCATGGTCTAGCGAAACCTTGGGGGTGCAGAAATCAGCTGGAGGTGTTTTGCTACCAAAATCTGCGGTTAAATTTGAGTGGTACCTTATGGGGGAGGTGCGTGAAGTATCAATAATGTGCAGACATTCTAAATCAAGCACGTGTATGGAAAATTTTATTGCTTCTCTTTTTGAGCTTCAAGCACGTGTATGGATATGGTTATGTATTATGTTTTTCTTATTTTTTTTATATAAGAATCTGCATGCAGTTCCATTCTATTGGTGCTGAGGTTGAGAAAGTGGAGACTGGAAAGAAGGTGAAATGTAAAAAGTTCCAATTATCACAGACTTCATGTCATATACCCATTTTGCCATCCATGCCTGATTCGATTTGATATTCCTTACCCACAGGTACTTTTCTCAGACAAATGCATATGAGGTATGTAATTTGGATTGTAGTATATTTTTGTGCTGTGTTATGGAGTAAAAATAGATCTACATAGCATAATCTACGAAGTTTCACTTGCATGGAAGTCAGAACCAACCTTTATAATTTGTGTTGGTTTTTTGTCTAAAGGTTGACTTGGGAACATCAGATAGGCTTGTTTCTGCAAAGCAGATGAATTGCTGGCTGTGGTCGAGTGAGAAAAAGTCAACCGTCTCTGAAGCAATTGGAGGTAGCAGTGGAATCTGAAAGCCGAATGGTAGTGGCATCTTTTTTAAGCAATTGAAGGTAATCATTCACTGTACCGAGCCGCCGGGACTGAGTTTTTAGATAGAGTCGAGAAGCAATTTAATGGTAGCAGTGGAAATAAAGTGGTGGATTTGGGTGAGATGTTTTAGTATGAGATATGGGAAGAGCAAAAGTATATTGCTACTATCACTATAAGAAAAAGGAGAGAGGATAAAGAGGTTCGTTCTAGTAACTGAGAACGTAGAATGTTTTGCTTTCGAAGGATTATCCTTTAGCTGTATTTTTTTTCTTAACTCTCTCTTAGGTGTACTTTCTTCCAGCTGCAGGTTGTTCATGTTATTATGCTAACTTCTTGGGCGTTATGGAGCAAGTTCTTGTATTTCTTATTCTTATGCATCCTGAGTAGATCTTATGTTTTCCAGAGTTTCTATTGATGATTCTTGTGCAAAAATCTGAGTTTAGTGATTTTATTGGACTTGAGTTGTAAAAATTGAATACAATGTTGCTTCTCTTTTATATGTTTGTCACTCATTTCTCGAGTTAAAGGGCATATTTTAATGACAAATGATGGCGTAACACAATATAATATATTAGTGAAAAAAGTCGAAGACATTATAAAAGGTCGCATATTTTAATGACAAATGATGGTGTAACACAATATAAGATATTAGTAAAAAAAATCGAAGACGTTATAAAAGGGCATATTTTAATGACGAATATAAATTATGTGATTGTTACTAAACCACTTATGATACAAATTTGTCACAAAGCAAAGTTATACGTGTACGTCATTATACCATATCGTCACAAAAGGAAGTTGTATGATGACGAATTATTCGTATGCGTCATTTTAAACACAATAAAAACACAACGATTTTGATTCGTCACAGTGACTTTCGTCATAATATGTATTAATATGCCGAATTTAGTTGTTTTATAGTTTATCGTCACAAAACAAAATTATATAATGACGAATTTTTTTGCAAGCGTCATTTCAATTACGAAGAAAAACAACGAATTTGTAACACCCCGCCTTATCGTTAAATCAGAGTGCAAAAATTTCGCAAAGTTATTTAAAAATAAATTCTTTTACTTTGCGAAAACTGATTCGGGGTGCTACCTTAAAAAAACATGACTTAATTTGGAAAACCGTTGTCTTAATTTTTAATAAAATCATACTGTCATCGGAAGCATAAAATTTTCCAAAAATTCGTCAAACTATAAGTTCGTCAAGAATCATCATCAGCGGAAACGTAAATCATCATATTATATATACAATCAAAACATGAAAGTCCTGAAGCCTTCGTCATCTCACGCTCCCTGCCCGACATCCTGACCTGAAAAACATGATAAAAGTGGGAAATGAGCACTATGGCATTGTGCTCCGTGGAAACTCATACTAATGTAAACATTGAAAATAATAACGACATCATGATATCAGTATATACATAACCTCAACATCAAGCCGGTAATAACATGAACATGAATCTGATATCGTCACGCAACGTGACCCTGACCGTTACCTCATCTGCCGGCAAAAACTAATGCCGGACACCATGTGCACACTCTAGTGGGCAGACTAGGGCCACTAGAACCCAGAATGGACCGGCGACCATTCCGAGCGGATACCTCACATGAAATACATACCTCAAATATGGTATCGTAATTATAATCAATGTAGTACTTAGTCTGAGTCCCCACCTGAACTGCTGAACTGAACGGTAGTGCTGATGCCTGATCAAACTGAAAATAATATAAACAATTACTAATGACTATGCTCGGACTGATAAATTAACTGATTAATTATGTTAAGATGCTCTACTAAACGTGACATGATATTTGGACTTAACCGGTATAGCCGGAACTGATCTGACATGAACTGATCGGACATGAACTTACTGAACTGAACTGAACCTGGAATTTTAACTGAAAATGACACTGCCGGGCACCACCAAGCACCGCGACAAGCGACTGAAAACATGAACGCGCGCATGGGCGCTAGCTGGCATGAACGGGTACCGCACGGGCGCTGCTATGCGACCCTAGCGGTACTAGGCACTCGGACGTGCTGTCGAGCACTGCCCAAGGCCGACTGGCATGCGGCTGTGCGCATTGGTGTGCGCGGAGACCTGTCGGCGTGCGCTAAGCACTAGCCGACAGTCAACTGCTACGGGCAAGCTGTACGTGACGCTCGACACGCACAACGCCCGTCCGTCCTGTATGATTGCCGGTACGTTGTAACCACTGTGTGCGGGCAGCGTGACCACGACCGACCCTTGCCGGTCATCCGGCGATTTTCTCCGACCATTATGACATGAATTAACATAACTGACTATAACTTAACATGACTTAACATAATCTGAAGAAATACACATAATTGCTTAGAGTATCATGAACATGACTTAATTCGACCGACGAAACGCGGACGACCGTGGCGTGCGCTACGTGCGCTGCCTACGGCTTTGGCAAATCCCTCGACCAAACGACAACTTATTTTGACATTCATTACTTAACTGAACATGGAATAACATATATTGACCGAGTAAACATGAATTGCTCGAGAGACTTAAATTAAAACATGAACATGATTGACATAAGATACACGCACAGTCGAACGGCTTAAAGCCGAATCGAGGACATGACTTAAGCAAGACTTGATCTAACATGACCTCAACAACATCAAGCAAGAATAAACTGAGGTTACCTTAGCAATCACTCGGACAATCGCTCGGATGTTGCACCTCCGTACATGTGGTGGCTTCTCCGCGTGCGTGCGACAAGCTTTCCGTGTGTGCCGTGCTCGCGGTATGTGCTAGGCGTGAGTTCTCACTCTCCTCACTTAACTCTCTTAACACACTAAACTTAAGTGAAGTGTATGGTTATAAAATGAGGAAAATTTCAAAACTCAACATCTATATATGGCCGTGCATGTGTACTTGAAATGAAATAACTCCTTTAACCTCTCCAATTTCTCACTAATTCTCAAGAGAGTAAATATTATATGCATTAGCTGAAATTTTTCTCCTATTTCTCAATATATACGCATGGAAAAGTCAATGAGGAGGTGAGAACTTGGTGGCTTACTATCCTTGCGCCACTTGCTAGCTAATGGAGTAGCTAAGTGGAAAATTTTTAGCTTAGTCATGCTTAGAGTTTTAATCTCATGACACCTCATGCTTAGGGAAATTATAATCTTCCACAAGCTTAGGTCATGATAACAAAATAGCTATTCTAATTTCCTCCCAAATTCTCACGGCAATTAAGCAAAATTGGAGCATGATTTGGTTTAATGCCTTAAGCATGATCATAGAATTAATTAAGCATAATTATTATGCTTAATTATTTGATAACACATGATTTATTTGATTAACTTGGTACTTAAATACCAAAATTAATCCGAACGTGAACATGTCTTCGAAAATAATTTCGAAAAATCTTGATTAGAATAATTAGTTCCGAACATAAACGTGATATTCGAAATTATTTCGAATACTCATGACTTGGACGATTAATCCGAATATCGACATTTCAGACAATTCGTCAACTTAATTTATTAATTCCGAACTCATTAATTAATAAACAAATCGGAATTAAATCTGGAATTATTCGGTTACTGAAATAATTAAACCGAATAATTATCGACTAATAGTCCAACTCGGAATATAACTAGCTGAATAACTTGAACTTTGAACATGAACATGATTATTTATTAACAAACGCTAGCTTAAATTAAAGGCAAAATTGCGCCTAATATCACCACCTTTATCGAAATTGCAAATTAATCACAACTTTTGGACTTTGGCGCACAATATCATGATCTTCAATTTTTGGCAATAGGTACATGAAATTCCTCAGCTCCCAAAAAAAAAATCGACGTGGCCTAAATTTGCCACCGCGGAGGCTTAGCTGGCGGTCCACCTCGGAGCAATACGGCGTCGTTTTAATTCTTTTTATCCACGTCAGATCAAAACGACGTCGTTTCGATATCCTAGCAATACTGAAGTCATTAAACCCTAATTCCCTAATTCCGAAAAATGCAAAAAATGCAGAAAAAATCAGAAAGATTCAGAAAAACCTAATAAGCCATAACCCTAAACCCTAATTCCCTAATTCCATAATCAATCAACTTCATGGTTTCCAAATTCTGAAAAATTAAACCTAATAAGACATTAAACCCTAATTCCCAATTTTAACAATCTACAGGCTTAAAGCAATTACCATGGATACATGTAAACTAGGCTTACCAATCGATTTTTGCACATGTAGAACCTCCTACCCGAATTTCGATCGGTATTAGAGGTCAGCAATTCGGCCTCACCATGGATACATGTAAATTTTGATGATGTACTCCTAGATGAGTTGGATTTGGTTGACATTTTTGCCTACTCCTTCTTCTCCGATGACGAAAACCCAGCCCCAAAAATTTTCTCCTGCAGATTGAAGAAGGGTTCATCGACTGATTTGGGGATTTAATCAACAATTTACCACTCAAAACGGCGTCGTTCGATCTGAGGTGGAAAAAAAATACTCAGATATCGAAACAACGTCGTTTTGATCTGACGTGGATAAAAGAATTAAAACAACGTCGTATTGCTGCGAGGTGGACCGCCAGCTAAGCCTCCGCGGTGGCAAATTTAAGCCACGTCGATTTTTTTTCGGGAGCTGAGGAATTTCATGTACCGTATTGCCAAAAATTGAAGATCATGATATTGTGCGCCAAAGTCCAAAAGTCATGATTAATTTGCAATTTCAATAAAGGTGGTGATATTAGGCGTAATTTTGCCTAAATTAAAAGCTAGTATTTCTTTTATTAATAAAATACGGGGCGTTACAATCCACCTCCCTTAAAATATTTCCGTCCTCGGAAATCGTAAATCTGGAATGTACAAGCTTAACTTAAAGCTTATACTTACTGATTGCATGACTTGGGAATCCAGTAATTTAATACTGAATAAGAAACTTGATCTGAACTGAAGATGCATCAATTCACAATTAAGTGA